CCGCCCTCTCTGGGCGTCTCGTCTGGCGGTCGTGTTCGGAGGAGCTGGTGGTGGCGGGGGTGCGCGAAGCGCCACTAATATACAATCTCAAGGAATGCCCAACGCATGTGAGACTTGTTTGGAGTGTGTACGAGGCTTGATTGGAGCTGGGTCCAAGCTTCTTCGAAACATGTTCGGGGCTTGATTGATACTTGTTTTGGACGTGTTTGAAACTTGATTGCTCTTTGTTGGAGACCTGTGAGAGACCTGTTTGAGACTTGTTTGGGACTTGTGTGAGCCTTGTGCGAGACCTGTTTGAGACTTGTATGGGACCTGTTTGAAACTTGTTTGAGACTTGTTTGAGACTTGTTTGGGGCTTGTGCGAGACCTGTTTGAGGCTTGTGCGAGGCTCGTGTGAAGCACGTTTGAAGCCTGTTTGGAACTCGTCTGAGGATTGCCAAATACTCATACCCCATATCCCCACACACGAACAGTAGTAATGCTATGCTGTGCTATACAGTGCGCACGTGCCCACAGAGACCGCCGCGCGTTTCCCGAGCGATTTTGATTTACCATATGGTCGACCACATGGAATGGTTACCCGTTTCGCGGCGACCTTTTGGGCGACCATTGGGGTTACCATATTTCTAAAAAGCTGTTTTTGGCGACCATTTGGGCGACCATATGGGTTACCATATCGGTTTTTGGCGACCATTCGGGCGACCATAGGGGCGACCATATGGGCGACCACTTTGATGCCCCCCCCGCTGTTGGGTCCAGGGACGTCACGGCTCTAGTCTAGTTTTTTGGGGCAACGCGCGAGCAGGCTCGGGCCCGCAAGGTAAGCGTTGCTGACGCCTGGGAAGGGGGGGGGGGGGGGGGGGGGGGCAACCGCGGGCCGCCCTAGTCCCGTACAGGACCCAGGGGGGCACGGCTGGGGGTGGGGAGGGGGGGGGGGGGGGGGGGGGTCCTGTGCTAGCATGATGTGACTCAGCGCGCCGACCTCGCCGCGCAGCAAGCACGAGTCGTCCACGGCCATGCCCTGTTCGCACTTGCGGCTCTGACTCCACTGCCCGTCGGCCACCGCCGAGGCGAGGTGCCCGCGCTCCTTGGGTGTCAGCCTGAGCGTAAGCTGCTTGCCAGCTTCCATGGGATTCGGCCAATGGTTCACCCGCGCCGTTGGTGCGTCACCCGTACGTGGCGACGCCGACCGCTGCCCAGCGGGTTCGACATTCCGAGCTCAGCAAAACTCGCCTACGACGACCGCTGGGAAGCGGATTCTGGCATTCCGAGCTCAGCAAAACTTGTCGACGACGACCGCTGGGCAGCGAATTCTGACGCCAGCCCAAGGCAGACCGCGGCCGCCAGCGGCGGGACAGGCGCCGCAGCGGCGGCCCCGCGAGCAGCAGCTGCAGCACGCCTTCCAGGCGCAGCTCCGAACTCCGCCTGCTCTTCCCGCTCCTGCGCGTCGGACTGGGCCAGCCTGCGCATGTCGGCGCGGTAGCGGGCCCGAATGCGCCGCCGTGCTGCCCAGGCCGCCTCGCAAAAGCCCTGCGCCATCCTGAGCCTGACTACGCCCAGGTTGTCGATGCCGACTGCTCGCGCAGCCTCACTGACGAGCGGCGCCCACGCACCATGCATCGGCAAGTCTGCCACGTAAGAGACGCACAGGCGCAGCCAGTGCGCTCTGTCTCCAGGTTCGTCGAGCACAGAGACATCCTGGAGCCAGAACGTGGTGTAGGCCCTCAGTCTCTTCTCGTGCGTCATGCGCGCGTGCACGGCAGCCCGCCGCGCAGGGCCCTGGCTCTTGGCCCCCGTGACCTGCGGCTGTCTCCCGAAGACGCCGTTGCGGCTGATGGCGCCTGTGGTGGCCATCATGATCAGGGGCTCGATCAACCCGCCGTCGGCCAGGTGCTCGAGACCAGTCCCCGCGCAAACCTCCGGCCACTGCCATGCTTGCACCGCCCGCAAAAGGAGGCGCTTGACGATCCAAGGGCCCAGCTCGCACGCGCCGATGTCGCCGCCTTCGTGCGCGCGCCAAATGGTGGCGTTGAGCACTTGCCAGCCGACCCGCTCGAGGGCGAGCCGCACGGCACTGAATGGCCCGCGCGCCTGGCTCCAGCTCTCGGCCTGGCAACAGGTCACGCCGTAGGCGATGGCGTGCTGGGGGATCCGGCCCCCCCAGGCCGCGCGCAGCAGCGCCATGGTGGGAAGGGGCGTGGCCCTGATCATCGGGTCGAGCATGGGCGTCAGCATCAGGGTGAGCGCGCGCGACCGCCCAGCCACGCTGAGCGCGACCGCCATGAACGACTCCGTCCTCAGAGTGTCCAGCTCCATGGTGGCGCAGCCCGCGACGGCGACGCCGTGGGCCACGCTGGGCTCAATGCCAGCCCTGGCAACCTTGCGCACGGCTTTCTTGCGCCCCGCCCCTGTCTTGAGGATCGCCGCGCGGCGTTGTCGGAGCCCTGCCTGCACCAGCTTCTCCTGGCGCACCTTGCGCACCATGCGCCTGCCACGCGAGAAGTCGACGCCGCGGTCGCGCTCGCCCTTGACCGAGACCACGCCGAGCGGCCGGCGCAGACGGGCTGCCAGGCCGTGGCGAGCAGCTCGAACGTTCGCCAGCGCCCTCGACTTCTTGACCGCCACGTCGAAGTCCACGTCCATGAGTAGCGCCTTGAGCTTAAAGGCTGCCTCAGCGACCTCCTTCGTCACGCGCGCGAGCCCGCCGACTCAGCGCAGCATGAGGTCGTCCGCGAACGCCGCCAGCGACGCGGACGGGTGCTGGATGACCAGGCGGTCGAGCGGCCCGATCAGGATGAGCTCCAGCAGCGAGGTCGCGAAGCCGTCGCCAGACATAATTGACTGCCTTGCCTCGATCACGCGCGAGGCCGCGCTGCCCACGCAGAGGGCCCTCGGCGCGCAGTCCAGCTCCAGCGTCAACTTGAACTGCCACAGCGGGAAGCCAGCGGCGATGGCAGCGTCCAGCAGCCAGCGGTGACGCACCTGCTCGAACGCCTTGAGCAGGTCGAGCAGGGCGGCGACCGCCGCCCAGGACTCGGCGTCGCCGCAGTCGGCACCCCGCTGCGCGGCCCACTCGCCGATCCCAGCTTGGCGCCACACGGCCCGCTCGCAGCAGCGGCCAGACTTCGCCCATCAGTATGGGCGATCATTCGCTTCCTCCCACTTGCGTGCGATGCCGCGCCGCAGTCGCGCCTGCACCCTCGCCAGCGCCACGACGACGGCGATGGGCCTCGCGCCGCCGAGCCGCTTCCGGACGAGGCCGATCTTGGCGGTCATTAGCGGCCAGGAGGCGTCGCGCTCGATCGCCGTGAGGATGTCGATCAGGACCGCCAGCGCCTCGTCGCACAGCTCGCCCAACTGCCGCGGCCTCGCGGCGCAGAAGGACATGCCCGTGACCGCCCTGAAGGAGCGCAGCACATTGCGCAGCTCCTGGACTGTGGGCCTCGGCGGCCTCTCGCCCAGGTCCGAGGGCCGGTGCAAGCGCATCTGCTCACAGGAAGTCCTCCACCAGTGACTCCACTCTACCTCGAGCTGCGTCACCTGCTGCCCGAGATCCAGGGGCTCGAACAGCTGCCTGCAGTCGCCAGGTCGTCGTCGTTCTCGGCGTCGCCAATGGGGCCCGGGCCGAACCCTATGGGCAGGCGGGAGACAGCGCGAAGACCACCACCTCCACCTGCGGCCTGCTTCTCGACCCACTGCTGAAACTGGACGGCCCGCTGCGCCACGCCCCGCTCCGCCATTTCCAGCGCGACCGCGCGCGCCCGCATGCAGCTGCTGCAGCACGGCAAGGCCAAGCAGAGACAGACGCAAGCTGCTAAGCAGCATCCGCCAAACCACAGCTCGGGGCAGCACCTGAGGGCAGGACAGAACCTCGCCGTCATCAGATGTCGCCTTCACTGCGGCAGGGGCTCTGTCAAGCAGTCTGCGCGCACCTCGAAGATCGTCGAGGCGCGCGCCCCGCGGCGGCAACGTCGAGCAGCGCGCTGGCCGCGCGGTGCATCCAGATCGCCTCCGTCGAGACGCGAGGCCAGCGCGCTCCGGCTACACGGGGCCGACGGTGCCGACGCGGCTCCGCAGGGCGAGCTCGCCCTTTGTGCTTGGCCCTATCCTCCTCCGACTGGTAGGCGTCGATCCACTCGCCCTAGGCAGCGTCGAGGAACCGCTGCCAAGAGGTTGCGAGGTTGCGAGGTGTAGTCATCGCGCTTAAGCTCGTCCCTCACTCTCTCCTGCTCGCCAGCAAGTAAGCACTGGAGTTCCTGGCCGATCACGCCCCAGCGCTCGCCGCGCGCGAGGCGAGCGCAGCCCGCAGGCCGCTGGACAGGGAAGGGCTCGGGCACCTGAACGACCGTAACCCGCGGCCTTCTGCGAGAGGCCTCAAGCTCCACCATGACGGGCTTGCGCGGGTAGACTGGAGACCCGCTGACCACGCGGACGTTGGTGACCATGAGCCCTCGCGAGACGATAAACAAGTCGATCGTCCTCTTTGCCAGCGCGCAGGCGGGCTCCAGCGCGTCCGCGACGACCGCGTCGAAGAGCCTCGGCACGCCAGACTTCGCCAGCCCCTGCCCGGCGCAATCGAAGTCACCCCCGACCGCGCGCGGGCGACCGTGCTCTCGCAGCCTGCAGGCCAGGTCGCTCAGCGCCTCGTAGTTGAACGCGTTGTCGCCGACGCCTGGCTACAGCTAGATGTTGGCCAACAAAATGCCACCGCGCAGCGGCCCCGAGCGATGTAGCACCTGCACGCGCCCTTCTCGCAGCACAGAAAGGCGCGGCCCCAGCACGGCGGCAAGCCCATGCTCGCTGCGCACGCACGCGAGCAGCTCCCCAGTTGCCAGCCCTCCAGCTAGCGAAGGCACCGCAGCTGCCCCACAAGCACGACGTCCCCTACGACGAAGCCCCCCTTCAGCGTCCGCCGTGCGTGCTTCGCCCAGTCGCGTTTCTTGAAACAAGATGACGTCGCAGCCAACCAGCTCCTGGACCATGCACCTGTCGACATTCGACTACGAGTTCATATTAAGCGACGCGATGCTCCAGGACTGGATGCGGCTGCCCCACCGAGGCTTCCTGGCCTCGACCGCGGCCTCGTGCTTCTGCTTGAGGTGGGCCTGGAACTCCTCGACGAACTTCCTCTTAAGTCGGAGGCAGCGGCCTTGAAAGTCACCCGTGGCGATCTCCAGCGAATTTCTTTCGAGGTCCACGTCGATGCCCTCGCCCGCGGCGGTGCCGGCAGCAGCTGCCCCGGCGGCTGCGCCGCTGCCGCCCATTGGGGCGCCGGCTGCACCACCGTCCGCTGCGACTGGTTCAGGAGGCTGGGCGGCCAGTACTCCTGCCAGCAGCCCGCGGAACGGGGTCCAGCATGTCCTCGCTGAGCTGGAGGTTCTGGCTCTCCACGGAAGCTCCCACGACACCCTCGAGCTTCTTCGCGTGGCTGATGAGTTCGCCGACGTCGCACGCTGGCGTAGCAGCAGGCTTGGGCGCGGCGTCGTTGACGAGCGCGGCCTTCGCCTTGGAGACGGCGAAGTCCAGCTCGATCTGTAGCTGCGCGACCTTCTTCATCTGCAGGTAGGAAGCCTGGGGCGCCTCGGCAGCCAGCTTCTGCTTCTTCCCGTAGTCCAACTTGGCTTCCTGGAGCCGCTTGCAGGCCTCGAAAGACGCGACCTGCGCAGACTTGACCGTCTTGGCCGCGGAGAGCGTGCCCAGCTGCTGCTGCAGCAGGAAGCGCGACTGCCGCAAACTGTGCTTGTCAATTGCGGCCAGCGTGACGGACAGCAGCTCGAAGTCGGCCTCGATGGGGGCCAAATAGTGGTCGCGGGCCTCGGGCGAAAGCTTGGGCGGCTGCGCCCCAGAGCCCCCCCCACCTCCACGCTTCGGCTTCTGCACGATGTGCCACGGGCGGGAGTCGCCAGCTCCGTCCGCTCAAGCCCCGCGCGGTGGAGGATGACCATCACGAGAAGCAGGCACACCACGATTGGTCGGCCGACAGCTCGTGCACCCCGCCTGCCGACAGTTCGAGCGCCAGCCCAGGTTCTTGTAGTGACAGCGGTAGCGTCGCCAACTCGTGCCCTGAACCGACTCGCTCGCTGCACCAGCGCCAACGCCGCCGCCGCCGCTGCGGGGCTAAGAAACCATGCCGCGCGAATGGCGCGCCACAAGGGTGGCGGGCTCCTCACCCGGGGCGGACCAGGCGGAAACGCTGGAAGACTGCCGCGGACTAGCGGCATCCTTGCAGGCACGGAGGCGCGGAGCCCCCACTGTGCAGGCACCTTGATCCAAAATGGCTACGGAGTAGGGGAGGAGGACGAGGAGGAGAAAGAGGAGGGGGAGGACCAGTGTAAACCCAAGAGTCATCAACGATGTTGGAATCAACCCTCCCTCAAACAACTCCCTCTTCACAGGCGGTTGCAACGTTTCATTTCCATTGCAGGGACTGTTTCGTTGGAAGACAACCGTTTGAAGATCTGAAGCGTGCCAAAACATGGTTGTCGGGTTTTAAAATCCACGTATGAATCTGACTGCTGCGTCCTGACGATCCGGAATCGTGCCAGAACCTAATTTTTCTGATTCTACACCGCGAATCAACATAACTGTTGCGCCCGCATAGCCCTGAATCTTTCCAAAACACAATTTCTGGTACGTTGGCCATGGGAATCCGTGAAACTCTCGAGAACCACCCTTTGAAAACGACCCGCCCTCAACCCGTGAAACTCTTGCAAATTTTGAAAACGAATGTGCGCGGCGCTAAAGCGAGAACCACATTTTGAAAACGACTCGCTCTCAATCCGTGATATTCTTGCAAAGTTTGGAAACGAATGTGCGCGGCGCTAAGGCGATAACCACAATTTGAAAAGAAGCCGCCCTCAATCCGTGGAATTCTTGCAGATGTTGAAAACGAATGCGCGCGGCGCTAAGGCGAGATCAACATGTTGAAAACAACGCGCCCTCCATGTGTGAAGCTGTTGTCACTTTTGAAACTTCAGAGTCGCAAGTGGTGAGACAGTCTCAGCCGGAACGCCCGGCCCGCCCGAAAAACTGGCCTCGGGGTGCGACAGGGAAAAGTTATCTAGAAGGAGAAGAAGTGGAGGGGAACAGGAGGAGGAGGAGCAGCAGGTGGAGGTGGAGGAAGAGGAGGAGGAGCAGGAGGAGCAGGAGGAGCCAGGAGGAGGAGAAGGAGGTGGAGGAGGAGGAGGAGGAGCGAGGAGGAGAAGGAGGAGGTGGTGGAGGAGGGAGGAGGGAGGGAGGAAGGAGGGAGGAGGAGGAGGAGGAGGACTAGGAGGAGGAGGAGGAGGAGGAGGAGCAGGAGCGGAAGCAGGAGGAGGAGGATCAGGAGGAGGATCAGGAGGAGGGAGGCAGAGGAGGGGCAGGCGGAGGAGGAGGGCAAGGAAGAAGAGGGGGGCGTGGAGAGGCCCGTGAAGAAATCTGGTTTTCAAGCAAGTCGGGCCTCACCTGCACGCCTTTCTGGTCCAGCGCCGTTCGGACCGGTGGCGGGGTGGGGGGTGGGGGTACGGGGGCGAAAAGCCATGCAAGTAAACTTGTCAGGGCTCCGGATCGCATCATACGGGGGCAGGGTCTGCTTTTGGGGGGTCGAACGGACCGCGTCAAACGAGCTTGTGGGGTGGTCTCGATGTGGAACTCTTTTGTTGTCTGTGAGGTCTGGAGATTGAAGTGGACACCCAATCGCACTTGGGAGGGGTGTCCCAGACGCGCTGTCAAACAGTTGCTTGGACCCCCCTTATTCAAAATCTGAAACTTATCCATAGGGAGCCCACAAAAAAACGCACGCGCCCAAGCGTGCACACGAACCTGGCCCCTCGATCCGCGAGACCTGCCGCTTGATACGAACATTCGCGCAATGCGTACAGTAGGAGCTCGACCACAAGGAACCTTCCACGAGAAATCCAACCCTGAGACCCCAGGACGTCCACTAATCCTTGGCGTGAGAACGTCGGGCTCTCCGTAGCAAAACCATCGAAACACAAGAGACCAAGGGCACCCTGGAGGCAAGCAGGGTGTCTCTTGGCATGGGTCCCCTCTCTTAGAGGGAAAAGAAAAACCACAAGCACAAACTTTTGAAGGTCCGCGCGGATTTCTTGGATCTGCGCTGGACCCCACTCCCTGGCGCACGGAGCGCACCGGGGGCGGCGCCGGAGGCGCCGCCAGGGAGGCCCAGCGCGGATGCGAGGAGTCTTCGCAGAGCGCCAAAAGAGTAGGTTGCTGGCGTGTTTCTCTCCTTCGAAGCAGGGTGCCTCCCCCTGCACGAACGTTCGCGCCATGCGCACTCTCGAAACCAACGCGGATTCATGCACGTGTACGCTCTTCTTCCGCCCCTGACTCCAAGAACGCGCCCCTGCCGCCCTCGCATCCCCGCTGCGGGGGCGAGCTTCAGCGGCCCTCCAACGGGGACTCCACTCACGCGCACCTCCGCCAGTGACCCGGCAAAGTCAATCCTTCTCGACGTGGGGCAGCGCTGCAATGCCAGAAAGAGGCCCTTAAGTGGCAACTTTCGGCAGACGTCCAAAGCACCCGTTAGTGTTAGGTCGGGCATGTCCCCCTACAGGGGGATTTGTGGCGAAAAATGAGAAATACTCTAAACATACTCCAGGATGATCAAAAAGTGTCAAAATCGTCCCCAGACTCTTTTTCACTATTTGGGAAGATTCCTCCTGTAGACGGTCAGGCCCGACTCAACGTTAGTGAGTACCCGTTGCGGTGGGAGCGCTCACCGCCGCCGGGCGCGCGGGGAGAGGAGCGGGGCGGCTGCCAGGAGGGGCGGCCTTCGGAGAGCGAGACGAGGCCAGGTTTAGGCCGCGCTTTTGGAAAAACGACACACAAAAAACTCAAATGTAACGAGAATATAACGGCCAAACATAATGAAACGATCATGGAACAAGCGTCCCCTGCTTTGTGAATATGTTTGAATATTCCTCCTGTCGAGGGACATGCCCGACTTACGGCCAGGGCCGGGGGGCAGATACGACGGGGCCGAAGTCGGTGACCTCGGAGGTGCGGTGTCCGCGGCCGTGCCAGGGCGCCCCAGAGCGCTGCCAGAAAGAATTCATCTTCGTCCTGGGCCCGCCCGAGGAATGGTGGGAACTGCACACTGACTTGTACCCATGAGTTTTTACACACATATATATAGAGAGAGGTCTATACATATAGGTATATACATACACAGAAAGACCTACCTACATACATACAGACATAGAGACAGACAGACAGACAGACAGACAGACAGACAGACAGGCAGACAGACAGACCTACCTACCTACCGACATGCATGCATGCATGCATACATACAGACAGCCAGAAAGACAGACAGACAGACAGACATACAGACAGATAGAGAGACAGACATACGAGAGAGCGCGTTTCAGGGGCGCTTGACTTTGGAAAATTCGGCGGCGCGTTTCGAACCAGGGGAGGGTCCCCATTCGGCGCCGTCGATCAGAACCAGGGGGGCCCCCTCCCCCCTAATCCACCCCTCCCCGAAACCACCCCCGGCGCTGGCGGCGGCCGGCAACGCCGACGGCGGGGACTCAGGGACGATGACCAGAGAGGGCCCAGAGGCCGTAGATGAGAAACACAAATCGCCATATCGAGCCATTGTCCCCCAAAAGCCACCGGGAGGCCCTTAGGAAAGTGCAGGAGACGCCCAAGAAGCGCCCAGGAGGCTGAGCCTTCACACATGATCCTCAGACGCCCCCGAGACCCCTCTGACGAGAGCCCACGAGGCATCCATTATAACTCTGACCCAAGCCAAAGCACGGTGGCTGGAAGACCCGAAGGCCACACCGCCACCACCACCACCGAAAAATGCACCACCTCCACCGCCACCACCACCACAACCGCCACCATCACCACCACCACAACCCACCACCACCACCACCAGAAACCACCACCTACCACCACCACCACAACCACCCCCGCCACCATCACCACCACCCACAACCAAGCACCACCACCAGCACCACAACCAGCAGCACCACCAGCACCACCAACACCACAGCCCCCCACCACCACCACCACCACCACCACAAACCACCACGCCACCACTACCACCACCGCCACCACCACTACCACCACCGCCACCACAATCCACCACACCACCACCAATAACACCACCGCAACAACCACCACCACCACCGCCACTACTTCAACCCACCATTATCACCACCACCAACACACACACACCAGTACACCACCACCACCACCAAAAATCACCACACAACCACAAACACCACCACCACCGCCACAACTCACCACCTCCACCAGCACCACAACTACTGCCACCACCACCGCCACCACAACCCACCACACCACCACCACCACCGCCACAGTCACCACCACCACCACAACCATCACCACCACCAGTATACCTCCACAACCCACCGCAACCACCAACGCGACCACCACCACCACAAACCAACACAACACCACCACCACCGCGACCACCACCACCACGACCCATCACCACCACAACTACTACCACCACCATCACCAGGCGCCACCACACCACCACCACACCACCACCACCACCACCACCGCCGCCACCACCACCACCACCACAATCTTCCACCATCACCACCACCGTCACCACCACCACCACCACCAGTACCACCAAACACCACACCACCACCACCAGAACCACCACCATCACCACCACCACCACCGCCACAAACCCCCCACACCACCACCCGAGGGGGGGGGCGGAGTGGTTCGAACCCTTCCCCCCCTGTGACGGGAGGGGGGGTAGGAGGGTTCGACCCCCCCCCGTTCAATCCAGGGAAGGGGGGGTCCAGTTCAGCGCCCATCCATACAAACACACATACATACATACATACACACATACATACATACATACATACATACATACATACATACATACATACATACATACATACATACATACATACAGCCATACATACATACATACATACATACAGGCATACATAGATGCACGCATACAAAACTGCATGCATGCATATGTACATACATGCATACATGCATGCATGCATGCATACACACATACATACATACATACACACACAAACATACACATACACATACACATACACATACACATACACATACACATACACATACACATACACATACACATACATTCATACACATACACATACACATACACATACACATACACATACACATACACATACACATACACATACACATACACATACAAACATACATACACACGCGCCTACCAACCAACCTACCCACATGCAGAGATGCTTGCATGTATACAGACATACATAGATACGCCCATGTCTACCAACCAACCTACCTACCTACCTACCTAAATACATACATACATACATACATACATACATACATACATATATGATTGCGTGCATACAGGCATCCACACATATACTCACACATACAATCATACATATACATATACATATATGTATACATTTGCGTAGATATGAATCCGCGGCCTCGCGGGCCAGGCCCCTGGGCCGTGACCCCATGGACGCGGGGCCGCTTTTGTCGCTGATGCCCTGAGCGGAGCGTCATCAGTCCGACAGCGCGCGCACCCACGGCTCTGCGCCCCGAGACCAGACCCCGAGGGCGTGCACATGGACATGTTCACCAGGTGGCGACCTCTGAGAGGGCAGGGGGGCTCCTCATGGAGTCGACACAGGCTACCAGTCGACCCGTACCATGAGGATGCACGATAAGAACGCGAAGGCCCTGGGAGGCCATTTCGAAGCTGTTCCAGCGGGGCGCGGCAAGCCAGAGTGGCTAGTGATGGACAGAGCAGGCAAGGGCGCAAGGTTACCCTCAGGAGAAGTGCCCATCCTTACTATGCGGGTTGACTGTCATGGACTAGGAGTCCGTGGTTCTGGCGCGTGGGCGCCAGATCCACGGGTCGGGGAAAGGAACCCCCAAACATGAAGCCGATGCCACCTCGATTGGCGTCGGGGCGCGCCGACATCGCATGGAAATGGGACCCGTCGCCCATCCGCGCGCCCTGATCCATGTCTGCGCGCTCTCTCTAGAAGGGAGGGGCTGGTCCCCTCTGCAGGCGCGCCTCGAGGAGACATCACAGGACTCAGGAGGGCCCCATCTGAGGCGTGGTGCCTTCGCGCAAGGCTTCCGCCCTGGCTATGCCCCCCCGTGCACACAGGCAACCCCTGCTGCTGCTGCTCATTCTGCTGTTGCTGCTGCTGCTGCTGATGCCGCCGCCGCCGCCGCTGCTGCAGCTGCTGCTGGTGCTGGTTCTCCTCCTCCTCCTCCTCCTTCTCCAAATCCTCGTCCTCCTCCCTCTCGTCCTCCTCGTCCTCCTCGTCCTCCTCGTCCTCCTCCTCCTCCAACTCCCTTCCCCGCCGCCCCCTCCTCCCCCAGACATTCGCCTTCTGCACATCCGCCCTGCTCCTCGGCATCCTGCTCCTCCTCTCCTTCTCCTCCTGAACATCGACATCCCGCTGCTCCTCCAACTCCTCCTCTTCCCTCCTCCTCCCTTTTCCTCCTTCTCCTCCTTCTCCTCCTCCTCCTCCTCATCCTGATTATCCCCGCTCGCCCTCGCTCATCACTCCTCGTTCATTGCTCCTCGCTGCTTACTCCTGGATCCTCCGCCTCCTCCTCCTCCTCCTCCTGCTCCTCATCCAACTCCTTCTCCTCCTCCTCCTCCTGCGCATACCGGTCATCCTCCGCCTCCGCCTCCGCCTCCTCCTCCTCCTCCTCCTCCACCTCCTCCTCCTCCTCCTGCTTCCATTCCTCCTCCTCCTCCTCCTCCTCGTCCTCCTCATCTTCCTCCTCTCGCTCCTGGGACAGTCAGGGACCACTGGGAACGTCTTCCATCCTCCTCCCACTGTTTTGTCCGCCTCCTCCTCCTCCTTGTCCTCCTCGTCCTCCTCCTCCTAGTCTTGATCCTCGTCGATCCTCCATGGATCTTCGCTGCTCCTCCTCCCCCGACTCCTCGTCCTCGGCCCTCATTGACAACGGATACGTCGAACGCCGACGCCAACGCCGAGAAGACGACAACGACGACGACGACCACGACAATGCCGCCGCCGCCGACAACGATGGCGACAGTGGAAGATGCCGACGTCGGCGGAGGCCTCGGCGCGCAGCGCGTCGCCGCGGCGAGCGCACGCCCCCAACAGCGCCACGCAGAGCGGCCCGTCGGCGGCGAGGCCCGCGCGGAACATGGCGAGCGCCCAGCGCTCGCCCTGGTGCACGGCGGCGGTGGCGGCGGCAACGGCGACGGCGGCTGCGGCGGCGGCGGTGGCGCAGGCGACGACGGCCAAGCGGCCTCCTCCTCCTGTTCCTCCTGCGTGCGCCTCCTCCTCCTCCTGCTATTCGGATTCCTTTTTCTGAGTTGTCCTATGACGCTGCGTACTATTTTAATGCATATGATTATTATTACTATTCTTGTTTGTGTACGAGCTTCCTTTTATCTGTTTGTGAATCTTAATATTCTTCGTGTGCGTAATAATATCATTCGTCTTCTTGTTATAGCGAATCGTCGTCTCCGTATTATTATGTTTCTTCTTATCAGTCTTGTTCTTACTCGGACAACTGTACTAAATAGTGTGCTTCTTATTGTTTTCATTACTATGGCTATCATTTGATGTTGTCTTCCCATTGCTGTTATTATTCCTCCTCATCATTTCGGATTAATATTGTTATTCGTATTCCTCCTTCTCCTCATCCTCCTCCTCTTCCTCATTATCCTCCTCCTCCGCCTTTTCCTTCACCATTCCTTCTCCTAATAAATAACTCATCCCTGTCGCACCCCGAAGCATAGATGTGTAGGGCGGGCCAGGACTTTCGCCGGCGACTTCCTCACCGATTCTGACCCTGAAACTTACACATTGGCAACAGCTTCGAAGATGGATGGCGGGTGGTTTTCAAATGTGACTCTCGCCTTAGCGTCGCACGCAATCGTTTAAACAATTGTCAAGAGCTTTGCGGATTGACGCGGGTGGTTTTGAAAATGTGGCTATCGCCTCAGCGCCGCGCACATTTGTTTGTTTGTTAAACTTGCTTGTTTCAAATACAAAAAACTTCGCGCATTGACACGTGTGGTTTTCAAAGCGTGGCTCTCGTTCTAGCGCCGCGGACATTCGGTTTAACATGTGCAAGGGTTCCACAGATTGAAGGCGGGTGGTTTTCAAAATGCGGTTCTCGGCTTAGCGCCTCGTACAATCATTGCGCAAATTTGCACGAGCTTCACGGGTTGAGGGCGGGTCCTTTTCAAAATATGGTTCTCGTCTTGGCGCTGCGCACATTCGTCTGCAGTGTTCAAGATTTTCACGGTATCCCATGACCAACGTACCAGAAATTGCATTCTGGAACGACTCAGGATATGCGGGTGCACCAATTACGTTGGTTCGCGGTGTTGAAGTCCCAAGCATGGCGTTCTGACCCGATTCAGGCTCGTCAAGCCGCAACAATCAAATTGATCCGTGGCGTTACTAGAATGCCGAGAACAATGTTTTCGCATGCTTCATAATCATAAACCGGCCCTGCAAGGCTCCCCCTTGAACCCCACACGCTACGTAAGACAGCCCCACGATTGCCCAGCGATCGCGCGAGTTTCGCGAACTCCGTCTTTCACTGTTGCTGCCGCCCCAAATGGTAGGCGGCACGGAATAAGCCAATGAGTATTAAAACTGTTGTCTTCCGACGGGGCAATTCCCTCAGTGGAAATGAAAGGCTTTAGGAGCCTATGAGGAGGGAGCTTTGGAAGGAAGGTGTATTCCAACATCGTTGCTGATCTTAGGTTTACACTGGCCTTCCTCCTCCTCATCCTTTTCCCCCTCCTCCTCCCCCTCCTCCTCTTCAGTTTCCTCATACTTCTCCTCTAAGCGTGGGGGGAGCATCGTCGTCTCCGCGGACTGCACTGGGCCCGCCTCGGAATCCAAGTCGGATCGCGCTAATGACGTGAGGGAGTAAGCCGTTCAGCTTCCTACTCCTCTTTGTCTCCCTCCTGACACCACCGAGAAAGTCTGTAGCTCGCCCGACGAACCACCCCCTGAACACCGCCACGAACGCGAGCAACAGGTACGACACCTTTCAGCACCGGGAGCGTCCCGCGGCGGCGCCGGTCAGCCTGGGAGCTCCGCCGCCAACCAGGCCGCGGCGCTGCCGCCGCCGCCGCCCGCGGCGGAGCGGAGCTGCCCAGCGACGGCGCGGTGGAGGACCACGCTCTGCTCCGCGCCCCACCGCCGCGTCAGGGCGCTGGCGGCCGGCGAAGCTGCTGCGCCGTCTCCCAGCCCTTGCGCCTGGTCGCGCGCAAGCCAGCGCTTGCGGCGGAACGCCGCCATGCCGATGCGGTTCCTGGCTCGCCTCCGCAGCGGCGTTGACGGCGCCGCTGCCGCCGACGACCGCCGCGAGGCCGCGCTCGTAGCTGATGGGCCTGATTTCCACCACCACCACCATAAGCTGGAGGGGGAAGGAGGTGAAGGATGAGGAGTAGGAGGAAGCACAAGAGGGGGCGGAGGACCCCCTCCCCCCTCCAACTGATGGCGGTGGTGGCGGTGGAAGACAGGCCCATCAATAGCGGACAGCCACATCCGCAAAAAGCCTCGGGCAGTCGCCCCTCTGCGCCTCGAGATCCAGCAGGGCCTCCTCCCACTCCGCTGTGGCCGACGCCCCAAAGGCCGCGCCCGGCCCGGCCGGCGGGGCGACAGCAGTGCTGCGGGCCGTGCAGACTGGTGAGGAACAGCGCCAGCGCCGCGCCCTCCACTTGCCGTCTCGGTTTCTGGACGTTCCCGACGGCTTTTCTAATTCAGCCGCGTATCTTTGCATTACATCACGTGTTAAGTGTGTTTTCTTTATTGTGTCGCCCATTTCTTTTCAACGGTATATATATATATATATATATATATGTGTTTGTTTGTTTACTTGGTTAGTCTCATCCTTTTTGGCTCAATGTTTCGCTAATGTTCTGCCCCCGCCGTGAGCGGGCGATCGCTCTTTACCCAGACTAATCAGAAAGCACGCAGTGGTTCTAGCGAACTACTCCCAGAACGTCACTGCAACGCTGCTCTGGAAGCTACCCCCAAACGCCTCAGACTCAGGCGTAATCCTTGCAAGCCTTCCCGAACGCCACCAGGCGGTCCTCCTTCTTGGTCACGAACCAGTACTGGTACTCACGAACGTACTGCACCACATCAGATCGACGAACGTGTCGAGGTTTCGCCCATTGCGTGTAGTTGCCGAAGAAGCCGTCCATGTATTGCGTCCCTCCCCATACCTTCTTCCCGTCGATATTGAACATCTTCGTCCACTCTTCCTTCCCATGAACGACGGCGATCTGCTTCGCTCGATTGCCGAAGATCTTCCTCTTGTTGACAAGGGAATCGTACTGGAGCATTTCGCCCCGTATCTGGCTGGAGCATCTCGCCCCCACGTGATCTGGAGCATTTCGCCCCTACGTGATCTGGAGCATTACGCCCCTTGGAGCATTTCGCCCCGTATCTGGCTGGAGCATTTCGCCCTTACGTGATGTGGAGCATTCCGCCCCCTGGAGCATTTCGCCCCGCACCTGGCTGGAGCATTTCGCCCCTATGTTATCTGGAGCGTTACGCCCCGCCTTCTCTCCCGTCAACTGTAGTTTGGGGGCGGTGGTAACTTAAAATACTCCGTGCAATAGCTGCGCTTCATCTGTGCTTCACATTCACCACGGGCACACGACGCAAGTGGGACAAATGAGGAAGGGGGACAACGGAGGGGAAGGAAGATAACGAGGAAGAAGGGAGGAGGAGGAGGGATGACTGGAACAGGGCACGGTGTGAACTACATGGTCGCACCCCCCGAAGATCTACCTTTTGGCGGGTTCTGAGATGAACCTTCGAGTTGTCTGTCTCTCCTCGCCGCTTCCTCGCCCCTTCCTCGCCAGGATTGTCATCGCCCCGCCCTCGCCTGCAAGCTCCCGCTAACCTGGCCAGGCGGTTTTTTTCTGGTCTGGGAGCTCACAGAACCTGGCCAGGCGTCGTTGTTTCTTGTTTCTGGTTGTTCTGGTCTGGGAGCCCACAAAACCTGGCCAGGCGTTGGTTTTTCTGTTTTTTTTTCTGGTCTGAGGGCTCAGAAAACCTGGCCAGGCGTTGGTTTTTCTGGTTTTTCTGGTCTGACGGCAGTAGTTCGCAAGCCCCCAACCTCCAGGCCAGGTTTTGTGGGCTCCCTGACCAAAAAAACCAGAAAAAAAAAACAACGCCTGGCCACGTTTTCTTAGCCCCCAGACCAGAAAAACCAGAAAACCAACGCCTGGCCAGGTTTTCTGAGCTCCCAGACCACAAAAACCAGAAAAAACAACGCCTGGTCACGTTTTCTGAGCTCCCAAACCAGAAAAACCAGAAAAACCAACGCCTGGCCATGTTTTCTGAGCTCCCAGACCAGAAAAACCAGAAAAAACAACGCCTGGCCAAGTTTTCTAAGCCCCCAGGAGGAGGAGGAACGGGAGAAGGAGGAGGACGAGAGAGAGAGAGAGAGAGAGACAGAGAGAGAGAGAGAGATAGAGAAAGAGACAGAGAGAGAGAGAGAGAGAGAGAAGAGACAGAGACAGAGAGATAGAGGGATAACGGAAAAAAGGGTGGGGCACCGAGGTTGAAGGAGGGAGATCAAAGGATGGTCTTGGGCAAACCACCGCGGCTGTGGGCAACGATGTTCAGCGAAGCCTTTCAAAACGATCGGTCTCAAGACAACACAAAAACGACGGGAACGTTCAGAAACCGAGACGCCCTCCACTTCCTCTTCCTCCTTCTCATCATCAGCAGCATCAGCATCAGCATCATCATCATCATCAGCATCATCATCACATTCATCAGCATCAGCATCATCATCATCATCAGCAGCATCATCATCATATTCATCATCATCATCATCATCATCATCATCATCATCAACATCATCATCAACATCATCATGATCGTCGTCATCATCATGTTCCTCATCATCATGATCAACATCATCAACATCGTCATCATCATGATCATCATCCTCAGTATCATCATGACCGGCATCATCAAAATCATCAGCATCAGCATCAGCATCATCATCATCCTCATTACATTGAGCAGGCATGACAGACTGAGCTTGTCGCGTCGTTCCTCCTCCTGTTCCTCCTCATCCTCTTACTCCTCCTCCTACTCATAATCATCATCATCATCAGCAGCAGCAGCAGCGTCATCGTCAGCGCTACCACCATCGTAATCGTCAGCGACAGCACCAGCAGCAGCAGCAGCAACATCATCATACTCAACATCGTGATAATCATCATCAGCAGCATCATAAGCCTCAGCATCATCATCATCATCAGCATCATCATCATCATCAGCAGCAGCAGCAGCATCGTAGGCAGCATCACCAGCACCATCAGCATAATCATCATTATCAATAGCATCATCATCACAATCAGCATCATCAACATCATCATGATCAACAACATCAACGTCAGCATCAGCTTCATCCTCCTCATCAGCGTCATCCTCTTGCACCTCCTCCAACTCCTCCTTCTCCTTCTCCCTCCTCCTCCTCCTCCTCCTCCTCCTCCTCCTCCTCGGCCGACTCAAACACATCTGGCTCGAGACTCCCCGCTTACATGTGAGTTCTGGGCAGTTCCAACGTCACCTCCCACGCCGTCAAGGGGCGCTTGGGGGACGCCTGAATCTCCTCCTCCCCATCCTCCTCCTCCTCCCCATCCTCCTCCTCCTCCTCCTCCTCCTCCTCCTCCTCCTACTCCTCTTGCACCTCCTCCAACTCCTCCTTCGCATTCTCCCTCCTCTTCCTCCTCGGCCGACTCAAGCACATCTGGCTCGAGACTCCCCGCTTACATGTGAGTTCTGGGCAATTCCAACGTCACCTCCCACACCGTCAAGGGGCGCTTGGGAGACGCCCAATCAGTCGCACCGTGCAGCCTTTCTGGGCGACGAAGTGGGACACATCGTGCGGGCTATTCGCATTGTTGGTTGCACACCTTCCTTGACACGTTCGTCGGCTTCCCGTCCGCACCGAAGGGCACGGGGACTTCGAGCCCATAGGAGTCCAACAAGGGCGGCGGTTTATCGGTGGAGTCTGTCATGGTAGGCTATTGATCATGTGTACTTGTGTAACACATTAACTACAATGTTTGGAGCAATACGTGTGGGAAGAGCGAGCGGTGGTTGGAAGACGTACTTGGACCAAGGCTGGTCAACTTGTTTCCGCTCAGTGACACGCATAACATCGTGGCATTAATTTCAATGGTATGTCTAGGGTGGTATAGACTAAAAACATTGTTCGTTTAGTTCTGGCAAGACAATGTGTGGAAGAAGCGATCTCATGTTGTAGCCGTGTGACGCTGTTCCGCTTGTTCGGAATACGAGGTTGCCCGATGACCAGGGTTTTTTTCATCATTGCAGTGCGCCGTGTCGAGTTGAAGTCATCTCTGCTCAGCCAACTGTTGTTCTCTGTGGACAATGAGGTGAGTATTCATCCGTGGTATCGGCAGCTTTGGGCTCACTTCACGCTTCGTGTACAGCTTGGGTGCCTCGGTCGCATGTCCCCGGCTCCAAATATTTGCCTGGTATACGTTCACTGGTTCGGCCACTTCTAGTACACCGACTCTGCCTTGTCGGATAGCTCGATACTCGATACTTCTCCTCCTCATCTTCGTTCACTGGTTCGGCCACTTCTAGTACACCGACTCTGCCTTGTCGGATAGCTCGATACTCGATACTTCTCCTCCTCAGCCTCCTTCTCCTCCTTCTCTTCCCTCTCCTCCACTTGCGTAGTTCTCTCTCCATCCACCTCCTTCCCCATCGTCGTCCTCCTCCTCGTCCTCCCCCCATCCTCGTCTTCGTCCTATCCCCCCCCCAGAGGCTAGGTCGACGCCGACGACAGTATTGCTACACCGATCCTGGCGGGGTCCTTTCTGCGCCCAATAGTATCCTGGCTAGTTGTATAGTATGCCTGGCTTCCAACCAGAGAGCAGTGGATAGAAAGGAGAGTGTGTAAGGAGGAGCAGCAGCAGGAGGGGGAGGAGGGAGAGCAGACGCAATAGCACGAAGGACAGGAGGAAGAGGACAAGGAGAGGAGCAGGAAGAGAAGCCGAATAATGAGGACGGAACAGGAGGATAAACACAAAAACGACAGGGAATATGTAAAGCAAAACACAGGACAATAAGCAATAGGAACGGGGGCCGTCGAGCAGAAATGACTATCAGACGCATGGCGCCGCTAAGAAAAATGCTGCGAGGATGAGCAAGAAGTGGAGGAGAAGGAGGAAGAGAGGGGGGAAGAGGAGGAGGAGGAGGAGGAGGAGGATGAGAGGACGAGCAGGGCGACAAGAAGGATAATGAGTCGACGAGTCGCAGCTGAAGTACCACGAGGAGGAAAAGAACACGGACGATAAGTGATGCGTAGCAGGAGGGGGGAGAAGAGGATCGACCCAACGAGCAGGAGGAGCAGCCGGACCTGTCCTCTTCCTCCCTCCTCTCTCATACCTCCCCTCTCCTATCTCCTCCCTCGCGCCTGTCTCCACTCCCTACTTTCTCCGACAACCTCCTCTCTCTCAAACTAGTTCTCTTCCCTCCGTTCCCCATCCCTCCTCCGTCCCTCCTCCACCCCGTCTCCATCCACACAACTCCCCCCCCCTGCGCCCCTAATCCCACACGTCCCGCCCGTTCCCCTTCCCCTGCCAGTTGCCAATTTTCGCCGTTCCAATCCTGCGCTCTGCCCTCTGCGGTCTCCCCCTCGCCGCCCCCGCCCCCCATCTGGCCCAGCCTGGCGACGAACGACGAGGGGGCGCGGGAAGAGGAGAGGGGGCCACTGAAGAGGGCCCAGGGCCTCGCAATCGGACGTCTCAAGCGGGAAGGCACCAGAGACACCCTGGTTCCCTCCAGGAAGGCCCCCCCCCCTCACGCCGCCCACCTGCTGCGCACCGCCACCCCCTATCCAGCCTCGAAACTGGAGAGGAAATTGGTAAAACGGCTCCTCCTCCACCTCCTCCTCCTCCCACCCCTCCTCCTCCTCTTACCCCTCCTCTTCCTTCTCCTCCTCCTCCTCCTCCTCCTCCTCCTCCTCCTCCTCATCCCCCACCCAGCCTCGTAAGCGGAGAGGCAGGGGGGGATCAAAGGGCGGCCATGGAATGTGCGGGGGATGCCGTCGACTGGCGACAGCTGGAACGCTGGCGTTAATCCCGCCGCAGCCCCGAAGCAGACCCTCAACTCGCGAAACCCAGCCTGAGCAGACACATGTCGCAGACCACGACGCGGATCTCGGGCCGCTGGCCTGCACCGACCTCGGACAACCAGGCATCGGGCCCTGGAGCCCCCGACCCCATCCCGAGATGACCGACCTCTCGTCCTGGGATCCCGAGGTCGCTCTTCGACGGCCCTGGGGCCAGGAGACGGGGCTGGCCATCGAAAGTACTCAATGATGGACCCTGGAGGCAAGGATGCAAGGGGAACCTTGGAAGGTCGCTCACCCTTACTATCAGTGTTGACCGCAGGCAGGGACAGGAGGAAGGTGGAGGGAGGCGTATGGAGCCCTCAACATTGCGACGGCAAACCCTGGCGCGCAACCACGCGCTCAGGGTGGGCGAAGGCTTTGCGATATCCGCGGCCTCGCAGGCTGGGCCCCTGGGCCGCGACCCCGCGGATACGGAGCGCTGGTCCGCGGATGCCCCGCGCGGAGACATATCCGTGCGACCTCGTTTCTGCGGGATCCTCCCAGGAATCCAGGCCGCGAGGGCGTGGATATGGATGTGTTCGCCGCTCGTGAGCTCGGAGCGGACGCAAGAAAACCTGAAGGGACGGGTGAGCGACTCGGCTTGATGCGCCGTCGAGGAGCGTGCCCGACCGCACGGGGCGACGCCAGCTGCGCGGATCCGAGGCCATGTCTTTGTCGGCCAGGGGTCCCTGAAGCCTCGACCCCTTGCCCAGGACCGAGTCTTCGTCCCGAATCGGGGCGGTCCTGGGGCCCGGCGAGGGCCCCAGAGGCCGAAAACGCAGAAAAACCTCCGCCTTGAGTTCTCCAATGCGCTGGAAATCTTGGCCCCCCCCCCTTCCCCCCTGACGCCCGCCACACAGCGCACCCCCGAGATCGTCTTTCCTTCTCCGGCCAGGGTACACCACGGACCCGGGTGCTCTCCGGTGAGGGCATTGGGGGGCGGGAGCCAGCCGAGAACAAGAACCTTTTCGATCTGGGCAGCCCCACGCGTGCCCGCGCGCACCAGCACTGCGTGCCCCCCCAGGGCCCGCCTGGATCGGCACACTGAGGGCTGAGAACATACCAGGGGTTCTCACCGGGTGCCAGTGTGGCTCGGTTCTGGCCGAGCCTAGCTCTTCAGTGGGTCATGGGTGCCACAAGCGTCTCGAGGGGATTAACGGTCTGGGCTAGGTGGGCTCCTTCCGCTTGTCGGAGTTATCGAGACCCCCCAGCAACACACTGGTAAGCAAGGTTAGGCCTGATGTAACCCACCTCGGCACCCACTGATAACCTCCCTCTCCCCTCAGCAACCACCCCCGGCCCGATCCACGTGCGCAAGCGACAAGACCAGGGAGGGGGAGGTCGGAGAGCCTTCTTTCTTCGCAGCGATAGCGGGCGTTATGAGGGAGGGGGGGCGGGGGGGGACATGGCGTTATGATCGGCGTTATGGGGGGGAAGGAGGAGGAGTAGGAGGAGGCGGAGGAGGAGAAAGGAGGAGGGGCACAACGCGCTGTATTGCCCAGAGGGGCCCCGGGAACACCTGAACGTCCTGAGTCGCTTCTGCACGGTCCCGAGGCCCGGCGAAGGCCCCCAGGGGCCGAAGGTTGCCCCACACCTGCCGCCCGGATGCCTCCGGGACTCGACGAGGTGGGTCTGGGCAGGGGGGCGGGCGGGCCCGATGGCCGGGGCCATCGCCCGACCCGTACAGACAACCGCCTCCCCCCTCCTCAGGGGCGCCCGCGCCGCCGCGCGTGGCCTGCTGGCCCCTACCAGCCCGCGTGCACGCGTCCAGCAGCGAGGTGTAGCCCGCCGCCCCCAGCCGCAGGCGCCGCCGCGTGCCTGGTGGAGGGCGGGGCTCGCGAAGATGAAAATCTTGGGATCCTGCGTGCAGCCGGGACGCTGAGATTGACTGCCTGCCAGAACACCCCAACCCGACCCGACGAGGCGAATTTCGGGATGGGGGGGTGCGGGCTCCGTCTGTGTTGTTGCATTGTTCCCCAACGCCCCCCCCCACTGGACATGGAGGGCAAATTGGGGCCTTCGGGTTGGGTCGGGGTGGTCTGATGGGTGGTGGAAAAGAACGAACAGTTTGGGTCCGAAAGGGGCTCGATGCTCCTTCGGTCCGTCCATGGCACGCGGGCGCTTCTGGGGAAATACGAAGGCTCTGTTCCCGAGTTCGGCAGCCTGACTGTAGACACGCACTGTCGGAGGCCCGCGCGGCTTGCGGCTTGGATCTGCGCTGGGCGCTCCCCTCGCTAGCGCGCGCGGAGCGCGCCAGGGGAGGCGCCAGAGGCGCCGCCAGGGGGCCCAGGCGTCGACCACAGAAATCCGCTCAGACCTCAGAAAATGCCTATGTTTGTGCAGCTGTTCTTCCTCCGCTTCGTGCAGCTGTTCTTCCTCCTGCGGACTGCCTCCTCCTTCGGACTCTCCTCCTCCTCCTCCTCCTCCTCCTCTCCTCCTCCTCCTCCTCCTCCTCCTCCTCCTCCTCCTCCTCCTCCTCCTCCTCCTCCTCCTCTTCCTCTTCTTATGTTTCTGATTCTGCTTCGTCTTCGCCATCGTTTTCGTTCTTCTTATTTCCTCCTCCTCCTCCTCCTCCGCCTCCTCCTCCCTCCCCCCCTCCCTCCCCCCTCCCTCCCTCCCCTCCCTCCCCCCCCCTCTGATCCTCCTCCTCCACCTCCTCCCCCTCCTCCTCCGCCTCCTCCTCGACCTCCTCCACTTCGTCTTAGCATTAGTGATATTATTCTTATTGGTATTAAGAGTATTAATCGCGTTAGTCTTCTTATTACGAGCGGTAGTGCTTTTATTATTATTGCTATTAGTATTAATATTCGTATTAGTAGTAGCATTCGTCATATTATTCGTATTCGTGTTATATGATTAGTCGTAGTCATATTCATACTCGTAGTACGCACCTTGGTGTTAATCGGGTTCGTCTTATTATCATCTGTTATACCTATGTACATTGTAATGTTCGTTGTATAACTATGAAGATTAGCATTATACTTCTTCGAATTCGTATCACAAGTATGAGCAGTCGCCTTATCAGTGATTATTATGCTGTCTGCTGTTCAACCTTAGTACTCGTCAGATTCGCCTCCCTCTTCCTTTTCCTCTTCCTATTCCTCCTCCTCACCTTCTTCCGCCTCCTCCTCCACCTCCTCCTCCTCCTCCCCCTCATCCTCATCCTCATCCTGTTCCTCCTCCTCTTTCCTCCTCTTAATCCTCCTCCTCCCGTTCTTCCACCTCCTCCTCCTCCTCTTCCTCCGCCTCCTCCTCCTCCTCTTTCTCCTCCCCTCCTCCTCCTATTCCTCCTCCTCCTCCTCCTCCTCCTCCTCCTCCCCCTCCTCGCCCCCGCGTCCTCGTTCTCATCCTGTTCCTTCTCCTTATCCTCGGGCGTAGCCAAGAGGGCGCCTGGTCTCGAAGTTCAGCCACAGTCGCCGCCGCTCGTTGGCCGCGCGACCTGAAATCGGACGGCCCTGACCACGCCTGCGCTTTGGTTGTGTGAAATGATGGGATTGGCAGGGGGGGCCAAAGGGCGCAGAGCATTGAAGAGACAGTAGGCGGAGACGGGGACGGTGAAAGAGGCGCGAGAGGGGGACAGGACGCCGAGGCGGGCGAGAGGACAGGCGACAAGAGGGTGTCCAACAACTTCTGTGAGGAGCCTCAAGAAACACGGGCATTTCCAGTAGTGCCAAAATCTGTCAGAACATTCAGGACATCCGAGCATGCACGGAGAAGATTTCTGAAATCGACTGTCCGCAATCCAGGCAGCGGCGAGAGTTTTCAGCACGGCAGCGCGCCAGGAGGGAGGGAGGGAGAGAATGACAGAACGACAGTGATCCCAGTCGATAGTCTCGATTTCTTGAATACGTTCGGGGCATCCTCTGCGCAGACGGGTCTTGAACATCGTGGTCAGGTTATCGGGGAAGAGGGCGTGCAGGAGGGACAGGTAGAGAATACGTTGGGGATGAAGAGCTTTCAGAGGAAGGAGAGGGTGGGCGGCAACATGTTCTCGCAGCGCACGGAGAGCCGTCCTACCAGGGATCCTGCAAGTCGGGGAATCCTGAAAACCTAGATCAGCTTGTTGAAGATTCTGAGCAATCGGGCGGGGCCTCCAAAATTTTGGGCACCAACGGCGCCCTCCTTCAAGATCAGGGTCCAGAGACGATAGTGACGAGCGGAAGCTCGGCCCACGCAGTTTCTTCCAAAATCCCCATACAATCACGCCAGCACGGGAGGGTGTATCTGCAAGAGCGCATCAGAGAAGCCAGGCAAAGGGCGAGGATGGAGGTCGTTTGGGGTCCACCCCAGTCCTTGAGGCGGTGCCAGTCGGCGTTCGCCCAGCATCGAAAAGGTGTCTTAAATAGACGGGCCAGCTGCTGGTACTCTGACTTACGGAGATGAGGGGGAATGATCATGAACTGGGCGACGTAAGATAAGACCGTGACGGCCCGACGGCGATATAGCAAGGCGGTGACCTCAGTCGCAGAGCCACCAGCAGCTATCATGGCGCAGCGAGACTGGTACTTACTGAGCGGGGCGTGCCACGAGTCCCATTCGACATCAGGTCCAAGAAACATCCCGAGGTACTTGAGTTTGCCCGAGATTCCCATGGAGGTCCATTCCCGAAGGTGAGAGTTAAGCCAGAGGCGATACTTGTGGGTGACCACGGGGGATGCTGAACCAATAAGCGGGGCAATGTGGCACTTCGGGATCTTGAGCTTCAGATGCGCCAGCCTCTGAGCCTTCCGAAAAACTGCCGAGATCTCGCTCAAGGCGGAAATGCACTTCAGCGCCATGCCGATGTCGTCGGCACACGCTCTCGTATGGCCACGGCCCGCGCCGTCCACCACGGAGCGAAAGTCTTGGAGAAAAGGATCGAGGGCGAGGCTGAAGAGAAGCCCAGAGGCCGGGCAGCCCTGCACGATACCAGCGGTAATGTGGTACATAAAGCTCGTGACCCCACCGATGTTCCCCCAACGCGCGACGTTATCGTAGATAATCTGGTAGAACCACCGAAGAGGAGGAGGGAGAGCGAGGGCGTCGAGCACCAGCATCAGCCATCTCTGACACAAGCTCGGGAAGGCCTGGCCGAAGTCAAAACCTATAAGCAGCGGAAGCGACGCCCTGGGACCCATAGAGTAGACCCTCGCGTGAGTGTCTAGCTCCACGATGTTCGAACAAAAGTTTCGGCCCGAGACAAAGCCACGTTGATTCGAGTCGAGTCCAGCGGGGACGCGACGAGAGAGCTCCCAACAACAGACCCCCGTCAGAATCTTGCAGTCCGTGTTCTTGAGGCCGAGAGGCCGAGTATCCCCAACGTCACGAAAAATGCCGTCTTGATCGCCAGCTTCCGTGCCTTTGGGAATGTAAACTCCCAGCAGCTCGTTAAAGTTGAAGGAGGGCGAGAAGCCGCTCAGGATCCACTGAAGTCCTTCAAACAGCATGGAAGAGCCTAGCGGAGCGTGCTGCCACGCAGCATACCTAAGACGGTCGGGCCCGGGGCCGGAGTCGGACTGCCTCCGAAGGTAGCTTTCCAGGAAGGCCAAGGTGGGGGGGGGGAGATCGTGGCACGAAACTTCGGGGGCGAACTCCTGAAGGCACGCCTTCGCGGGCTCTTCTTCGAAAGGCTTGCCAGAGAAGACAGGGGCCCAGTGAGCAGACAGCGCTTCAAGGACGCGGGAGGGTTCCTGCAAAATTTGACCCTGGACCCGAACCCCGGCCAGAGAGACGCGTTTGTCAAAGGGGGACCATAACTTAGCGGCCTTTTTCATTTTCTCCATCCGTCCTCGAAGCCGAGCCCGGCGCTGCTCGCTGCCAGCAGCGGCAAGGCTTGCTTGCGCAAGTTGTCGCCGGCGCTGTGAAACTTCAGCGCGCAGCGTGTCAGAGAGCGATGCAAAGTCCAGCGGCGAGACCAGATCCACCGTGCTCGCAGCTTCGTCGTAAACGAGATGTTCACGAGCGAGAGGGTGGGACAGGCAGACACGTTCGGCGAGACGCACGTCTTGTCGAAAGACAGCGCGGGCACACGTGCGAAGGACGATGAATTTGGCATCGAGCGACTGCGGCTTGTGTATGATGAGCGAGTTTCGGGCATGTCGGGCAGCTTCTATCATGAGTTTCTTATAATATGCATGTCTGAGAGGTACACTAAGATGTTCGTATTCAGCCGCAGCGAGCGCACGACGCATATACCATGCGAATTCGGCCGAACGAAAGATCTCACGCGGGATAGGCCGAGCATCTCCAGGCGGCCGCTGGCGAGCAACAAGGGTCGCACAGACTGCAGCATGGTCAGAGATGTGTTTCGCTAGAAGCTGTTCTGGGATCCCCACAACCTCCCCACTGGTAACCATCTGCGACAACACCCACCCAGGAGCAGAGCAGAACAACCGATCGATATAGGATAAATGCTGAACCCCCGCATGATAATGAGTAGGTGCCTCCAGCTGAAACTCGACCATTTTACGCAGAACTTCGCGCCACTCGGGAGCCCCTGGAACCAGCGGCGGCAGCGGTGCATTGAAAAGCTCATCGCTCGGGTTGAGCGGGACGGGCGGCTGCAGCCCGAAGTTAAAGTCCCCGACGACAGTGACCAGCTTATTCTGTGGGTCTCGACTAGCGTCCATAAGATCGTTGGCAATACACTGACATACATGACGACGTTGAACACGAGAGATACTGTGATTGTGAACGTTGTAGTGAGATATCCATGTCGAGCCATCAAGAGATAAGAAACGCGTGTGCAATACTCGACCAGGAACCAGAGAGAGAGAAGAGACAAGAGGAGACGCGCTGCCGAACCTCCGCTCCCGTTCGCTGCTGGGACTAAACTTCGGATAGAAAGTGACCACGCCTCCCGCAGGGCGCGGCCTGGAAATACCATCATCGCCAGGCGCTGCAGGGAGAAAAGAGGAGGAGCAGGAGAAAGGGAGATTAGCGTGATGCAAGAAATCTTGCACCTCTGCAATCGATCCGTGGACTTCTTGCACGGCCACGATTGCCCCAGGGCGGAGCAGGCGTTTTAAATAGCGGAATTGAGCAGTGCGCACGAGAGTCTGATGGTGCAGGAGAGCATTCGAATTCCAAGAGCCAATCCTCAGCGGCGTCTCGGAAGATCCGCTCCAAAGAGCGAAGAACGTGCTAAAGCGACCACTGGGTCTGACTGTCTCCCTGGATGGCGACAGCCAGCGGCTCCTCGATTGCTTCGCGGGAGATATTCTCGAGAGCCAGATTCGCTTCCGCCCAGCGGATCCGCGGCGCATCATCAGCCTGAGGAGTGATCTCCACGAGCTGGCGCCAATTAGTGGAAATGGTGCCGCGCAGCTTGTCAACAAAAAACTTCTTGTCCTGAAAGCGGTTCTCGAAGAACCTCCTGGCAGCTTTGAGCGCAACTTCACGCTTGACCTGGC